AGAGCGTCTAGGTCAACTGGTTCTGGACGATTAATCGTAAGTAATTGGATGTTTGGCTGTAATTTAGCCACCAACTCTAACACCTTCACCTGATTGTTATAAATCTTAACTTGTTCCTGGTACGATTTCTTTAAATAACGACTCATACGTGGGTCAGGTTGAGCCGATGATGTTGCATCCAAGTATGAACCAGCAAATGAAGGAGAAGCCCTGGAGTAATGCTTTTAGGAGAACATCGGACCCACTCCTATCTTTTGTCCTCTATGCATGCCAAGAACTTGCTCCAAAACCCCATGCTCGTCAAAGGCGGGTCTAGTCGAGCTTGAAATAGACTGTGTTCTCTGCGTTTGTCTCTCCTCCTCCAGGGTGTTCTACATAGTATAAGACATTATAATTGTTTTTACATCTTATAAAACCACTATTTTAGTATAAAAAAATTTAATATGAAAAGTAAAAATACTTACAAAAGTCTGTTCCGCTTGGGGATTAACCTAAGAGGCCCCGCGACGATGCATGTCCGTCCAATTGTCTATGACAGACATCGGCTCTTGGGTCTCCATACTGAACTGTCAAATAAATTACATTTGTTAAAATTCTTAAATTCTAACTAAATTTCGGCAGCATAACGACTTATCTTTCATATGATCCAAAAATCAAAACCTGTAAAAAAACAATTTTAAAAGATTTCGGCACACCATAGCTGTAAGATGTGCCACCCAGAACAATCATCATAAACATATAAATACGATAATGAAGTCAAAAAATAAGGACCAACCTTCTTATTGCGATGCTGAGAGTACGATACCTGACCATGTAAGCTTGGATACTTTTGGTTGCTACGATTAGTTTTATTTGTCTATGATATTTTTTATTTATGATTAACTATAATACGTAATAGATACTTGAAATTATGTATAAAAAACCATCAAGTTCTAACAAATCTATAATTACTTGAAATTTGTCGCCGGAGAACCTATCGCAACAATGATCCCAATGAAGTTGATTCCTCATGTTACTCGGGAGGCTTTCTCTACCATAGCGTTTGAAGTGGCCGTGCAGGGAACTTTTCCAATCCTTGTAGCATTTTGCTGCCTCCCTATCAACAACGGACCTCAGAATACTGTTCTTATAGTTGTAGTCCATGTTAAACCAGTCCTTGCAAAATAGTTTTACATCGTTAAAATGCATTGTTAACTTTAGTATAAACTATACAAATTATTGCATAAAAAAATACCAGCATCCAGTTCTGAATTGTCCTCTTGTCCATGTCGCTAATGTCCTTCCAAGCATCGTGGAAGGGTTCACATATGTCCTTGGTATGAATACCAACTGCACTTTCAAACCAGGCACCATATTTACCAAACGCCTTCCAAGTACCTCCCGCCTCATCAAATTCTACTGTGATTTTTCCGTCTTGAAGGACCTTTTGGGTGATTTCATAACCTTTCGCCCCACCTCGACCTCTACATTGTCAAGGTTCAGGTGCTGTAAGCATATGTAAGCATCTCAAATCAACATGTACTACATCATTTATTTACTATATGATAGAACGGGAAAAAAGTCAGACTAACATACCAAACTCACAGAATGCGGGGACTCTGTGAGGACCGAGAGGAGGCTGCGCTCCCCCTGAAGAGCCAGCGCAAGTCACTACCTGACCAACCATCAATGCTTGTAAACAAATTCATATTAATAACAATATTTATAAATTTACAAAAGATTATAATATTAAAACGAAAGCTGAGAAAAAGGACAAAGATTACTATTCTTAAATTCTACTCATCGTCGCTGCTACATTGTTGATTATCCCCATCATCATTTATGTCATCATCGTCTTCAGATTTGATGACTTCCTCCTCGACGTACTCCTATAAAGTTTCACCGTCCTCGTCATTAATAAAATCATCAACTACGGGAGACTTATCTTTCATAATTGCATGAACATCGGAGGTGACAACATTAGATGATACATCATGTCAATTCAATACAAATGAGTCAATCTCTGGTAGTTCAACTACTAACTCAATATTTGTAGACTCCGTATCCTGGACTATCATCACGTTATCAATGTCAGTTTCTGGAATGTCCCAAATATGTCGATGTCTAAAGTGTTATACAACCTTCCAGTTTGGACCGTTAAATAAATCGTCTATGTAAAAAACTTGCTCTGCTTGAGATGCAAGTATGAAAGGTTCGTTTTCGTACCACGTGTCTTTAACAAAAACACTTATTCTATTTTTGTAGTGTTGAATCGTGTTCTTCCCCAGATGAGTGTCAAACCACAGACATTTAAACAGCACAACAGAATTGTCGTTCAAGTAGGACAGGTCATAAATATCCTCCAAAACTCCATAATACGTCAGGTCTGCGAACACAAACACCACTATTTTGAGTACTTCGATTCATATCCTGATTGCGTATCAGAAACTTGACACTGTTCACCACACAACTAGGATAACTTCGACATGAGAAGCTTGAACCACTTGAAAGCGAAAGTATTTGATCATTCGCTTCTCGGTCATTCTGCTGTCGAATATTAAAAATCTATAAGGAGACATGAATTCTTTTTAAAACAAAATTTTTAATGACTTAACAATGTTAATGCAAATTAATTATAAATGTACCTTATTTTTAAACAATTTTGGAAACTCTTTCGATTGAATTTCATCCAATGGTATGGTTCGACCGCCGTCATCAATCTCCCTCTTATGGTCACTATTTAACAGAGAATGTAGGTCGTTAAAACCATTGGCCACATACTGTATGAGAGGCTCATGTTCCCGAAAGGATTGAAACCATTAGCGGCCAACCCCAAGCGAACATTTCTTGGCTCACGTGAAAACTTAGGATACTTTTCATCTACCTCCTTCCATTCATTACCATCGACTGGATGACGCATTAAATCCTCATCATTTGAACGCTCACGCTGGTTCCATGTTATATCTTTAGTTGTGTGATGAGAACCGTACAGACGCTTCAACCGATCTATTAACGGGAAATAACGTAGTACTTTTCACGGCACTTGTTTAGTATCCTTTGTCTTTTTTTTCTTCCAACGGGATGTTTTACATACGGGACACATTTGTAGATCAGCGTTCTCCTTCCAAAACAAAGCATAATCGTACTTGCAGACATGAATTGTTTCGTAACCCAGTCCTAGTTTACTCATGAGCTTCTTCGACTCATAATGAGAAGAAAGTAACTTCACATCCGGGAATGCATCTTTCAATATATTTAACAGAGCATCCATACACTCATTAGGCCACTTGTATAACACTTTTAAATGCATCAATTTCACTAAGAAATTTAAAGATGAATACTTAGTGCAGCCCGGATACAATCCCACCTAGAGCTCAGAAAGTAGATCCTTAAATTCAGCGTACTGTGCATCTTCTAGACCCACATGCGTCTCATCCAACATTTCATTGTCATCATTAATCCCAACAACGTCTTCTAAGACTCCAAACATCTCGTTTACTGGTTGATTAACTATTGGGTCGACACCTGAAACCGCTTATACTTCACCATGGTGAATCTATGTACTATACAATGGATCAAAACTAAATCGATGTATATGCGCTCTCATGGTTTCTACTAGATGCATTTCATGGTTTCTACATTTCACACAAGCACAACTGATATGGCCAATTGAAGTTGCATAGTTTTTGGCGACGTCAATAAAAGCAGATAACCCATTCCAATATTCATCCGACAATCGGTTCCTCAAATAAGTCCAACTTTTGTTAATCGACATTTGAACTATAAACAACAACAGACATAACAATTTATTAATGTGTTTAATTAATTTTAATTCTACTCTTTATTAACACAATTAAATTTTATTAATTAAAGTTTCTTAATGAACTTATTAAAATTCTCGTTTTCTAACTAAATTTCGGCATGATAACGACTTATTTTTCATATGATCCAAAAATCAAAACCTGCAGAAAAATAACTTTAAAAGATTTCGGCACATCATAGCTGTAAGATGTGCCACCCAGAACAAGAATCATAAACATATACTAAATTTCAACAATATAAGAAAATCATAATTCAAATATTGTCATCATAATCCTGAATTCATACGACCAAAAACTACAATAATTTTAAACTAAATAAATATAAAAAACTTACAAAGTTCAAACCCACTAAACGGGGGCTGAAAATAGCAGGATTACGTTGGAGGAACCGTGCAAACAGTGACGGAGGCGAAAAATCAAACGCCTATATCAAAACAAAACATCGAACATAATTTTCAAATACCAAAATTAACATTTTATTAACATCTAGAGTAACATATAGACACAATTCTTGATTAATTAAATTCTCAGAACCATAAAAAATGACTAAACTCAAACAAAAATCCATAACATTTTCTATTTTCTATTTCCTTCTTCCATTTACTCGGCAAGTAACAACAATCCCTAACAAAAATCCCTAAAAATCCCTAACATTCTTCGAATCAATGCAAGTAACCAAACAAAAACAAAATTTACAAAAAGAAAAAAAAAACTAACTAACCCCAAGAGGGAGTCTCAGCTTGAGGGAGTCTCGGCAGGGGTGGGGGAGGGGCGGGGGCTGGGACGGTGGGCGGCGGCGGCGGTGAGGGGAAGAAGAGGGAGAGAGAGTTAGCAGGAGAGAGAGAGAGACTAAAATCGGGGGAAAATGAAGAGGAGGAAGTTAGGGTATAATAGATTAGACTTATTTGCGATGACATTGTCGTCGCAAATAAATTTAAAATGTCGTCGTAAATACCCCACATCTGGAAATTATTTGCGATGACATAATGTCGTCGCAAATAATCATTCCATTGCGTTTGTTCTTGGTCAAATGTGTATAGCTTATTTGCGATGACAAAGAGAAAACATCGTCGCAAATAGAGTGATATTATTTGCGACGACACGTGTCGTCGCAACTAATAAGATATTGTCGTCGCAAAAAATGGATTCCCTTTGGCGGAAAAAATCCGCGCCATTGGAAATTGCGCGCCTAAACTATTTGCAACGACATTGAACTTATTAGTGGTGACATGCTTAATTTATTTAACGGGAATTAATTGCGACGACGTGTCGTCGCAAATAATGAAATATTTGTGATGACATATGTCGTCACAAATGACCTTTATTGTTGTAGTATGTCTTTGCCAACCTAAAGTCAAATGCAAGTCTTTGTACAACGAAAATTTCTTCCTCTCTCATTCTCAAGTTTAACACCTATATATTATTCGGGAAAAAAAAATTTTCCAATAAGCAAGAGTTGTTTGATATATGAATAGAGATATTGTCTATCATTTTTGTTTTTCCCCGATACGAATATACAATTTTGTTCACATTCCAAGGAAATTGTTATGGTTGGAACTGCCCTTTTCCATTACTGGTAAAAATTGTTATTTTAGTCATTAGGTTAAATTTTTAACGGTTTGATTTAGTTGAGAATTATTTTGTGTCGCACGTTGTGAACTTTTAACGTAAACACTCACTATCAAAATACTCATCCAATGACTTAAAAAAGCAGTTATTGCAGATAGTAAAAAAAGACAGTTCTTATCATAGGAGTTCTTACGTGCCTAACAGTGATTAGAACAAAATGCTTTCAGATATCGGACCTCTCATTTTGCCGAAATTTGATCCTGTATCTTTCACGATGACTCATGTATGTCAATTCACTTCTCAACGCATGCGATCAAATCAATACGGTTTTCATGCTAATATGCTAAGTATGTCCACCAAGCTCAACTCCGCGAAGGGATTAGGCCTGACTTTTCTCAATACCCCGTGTTATCGAAGAAAGATGCATATGTAACCAAAGATACTAAAACATTAATTAGTTGAATTGGCAAGTATTCATTGATCAAGACGGCTAGGGATGACAACAAGACTTCTTTGGGTAAGGTAGGCATTTTGTGTAATTACTTTATGAAAATTGGTAGTCGTGATTTTACTAGTTGCATCAACCCGTATGTATTGGTCAAGGCTCAAGCCCGGCATCGCTATACAAGTCTTAATGTACTGCTTTTCTTTTCTTTGTTTTCTTTTTTTTTTTTAATTTTTTTTTTTAACTTTTTAACTTTTTGTTTCTCTTATTTTGCTTTACCTTTTTTTTCCTCTTTGTTTGTCTACTACTCCTCTTAGCATGTAAACCGCTTGAATAATTTCTTTTTAACTCCATCATTTTTGTGTTTTACCTTTTCTTATTCATTTTTTTATTCTATTTGTCCAATACTGCAATTAATAAATGCTGCTTTAGCTTTTTTTTTTTTTTCAGTGCTTTACTTTTTCTCTTCCTTTCTTTCTTTCTGCGTTCATTTATTTATCGTTGTTTCTATTTGTAACTTCCGTTGATGAAGTAATCAGAACAGTGAGTTATAAATGCTTTATTTTTCCTTTAAATTTCAATTATTTTATTTTTTATTTTGTTATATGTTGGTATTGATCATCTCATGATAGTTTAAAATTGAGAGCTTTAGGTGTTTCTACTTTTTTTTTTTTTTTCTTTTTTTGTTAAGTTTTAACTTCTTTATCTTTTCTATTAATGTGAGTAACATTCGAGTCTAAAACAACAAGTTTTGGTGCTTAACTTCCCTTTTTTTTTCTTTTTAAATTTCAACTCATTTACCATGTTTCATTTATTTAATCATATACACTTATCAGTTAAACTACTATTTATATACTTGTGTTAAACTACTTGTGTTAGTAATTTTATTTTTTATTTGTTCTACAAATTATTGTTCATACTTTTTACGTTATAAAAATTTCAATAACAACTCAATCAAGTACCTAAATTACTAGTATCAAAAGGAAGAAGAAGAAAAAAAAAAGAAAAGGGTAAAAATAACGGTGAGGCACGGGCTGAACTTGGGGCCAGATGGGACTCAAGAGTCATCCTAACACATTAAAAAGTATATCTTTTTTTTTTTCCGTCTGCAAAAGGGTACTTAGTCAATAGTACTAGTGTAATGCTAAATTCATTACTTAGTCAATTGTACAAGTGTAATGATAAATTCATATGTGAATACGAAATTTAATCACTTTCTAATACAATATTACTCTTGATATTTTATTTAGTATATGTTATATTTGATGATAATTAACTACTACATATTTAACATGGTTTGACATTGCTCTTTAGAGATTCAAACTCTACACTTTATAATGAAGTTCTGTGTGGTATTACTATAAGACTATGTCTGTAACCGTACTCGAAAATGTTTTTTTGATGGTACACTCAACAATATTTCTATATCTTGAAGTCGGAGAAAGACCGTTGAATAATGAGGAGCACTAATAATTCACCTCAGATAAATACAAATTATGAATATCAATTTGGGCAACTTGACATAAAAATATAGTAAGCAATTAATTTCAATTTCAAATAAAAATAGATTAAATATTGACTTCCACAAAATCAGCCATGGATGAAAACCAAATCGAACGCAAAAGAGAAACTTACCACTATAGTCTTTGTCACTTGTCAGCATAAAGTCAACTGCATTCTTCCTGGCTCATTCCCAATTTTAACACATGACCTTGATCTTGCCACGTGAACTGTCGCACGGTTTCGGATTCTTCTATCACGAACCTCGAGAAAACTGAGTTTGAGTCAGTACTGATTCCACATTGCTCTTTAGAGATTCAAACTCTACACTTTATAATGAAGTTCTGTGTGGTATTACTATAAGACTATGTCTGTAACCGTACTCGAAAATGTTTTTTTGATGGTACACTCAACAATATTTCTATATCTTGAAGTCGGAGAAAGACCGTTGAATAATGAGGAGCACTAATAATTCACCTCAGATAAATACAAATTATGAATATCAATTTGGGCAACTTGACATAAAAATATAGTAAGCAATTAATTTCAATTTCAAATAAAAATAGATTAAATATTGACTTCCACAAAATCAGCCATGGATGAAAACCAAATCGAACGCAAAAGAGAAACTTACCACTATAGTCTTTGTCACTTGTCAGCATAAAGTCAACTGCATTCTTCCTGGCTCATTCCCAATTTTAACACATGACCTTGATCTTGCCACGTGAACTGTCGCACGGTTTCGGATTCTTCTATCACGAACCTCGAGAAAACTGAGTTTGAGTCAGTACTGATTCCATACATGACGCTTATCTCGTCTTGGTTGTTGACATAGCTCGTGTTGTCGAGGAACCCATTTGTCATTGTGGGTACCCCGCTCCATCTTTGACCTGTCCAAGATCCGGCCCGCCAAAAAGGAACCCTATTTTTGTATGCAAACATCTGTGGGTATCCTGTTGAGTCTATCCGGTATGTGCAGTTCCCGGTTCCTGGATCATCCGCAGACTTCCATGATGATATGAACCGGTTCAGTCCAGATTTCCGGTTCAACCCGAGCTTCATAAAAGGGAGGTAGGTGTTCGTGGGATAATCAAAGCTTTGCCAAATAACAGTACTGTTATCTTGTTTTATCAAAACAAGATTTCCAACATCTAAAAGCTTGGCTATGAAACTAGAACTACTTTTTTCCGAAGGGACAGAGACATTTGCTGACCAAATAGGAGAGTTTTGGTCTTTCGCATAAATGATGAGGCGTCCTTTGCTGTCGATGGCCAAGACTCCCGAAGTTTCGTTGATAGGATCGTCTCTGTTTGCGACCCACACAGCGGTTTTCTCGGGGTCTTTGTAGTACCAGATTCCGACGTACCGGTAGCGGGACTTACCGGGGCTGAAAAAGCCGAGCGCGAAGGTCTTTTGGCCGGAGAGCAAAACGTCGCCGTCTTTGACGGTGTTGTTCGGTGTAATGGAGTCAAGTACGAGGGACAAGCAGAAGGGCTGATAAACGAAGATGAGCAATATTAGTATTGTGTCTAGAAACGCCTCAAGAGATTTCATGGTTTGCTGGCCATGGGTAGATCTTATTGTTATTTATTTTAACACCGGAGGAGGGAGGTTTGTTTCCTATGAATTAGGGAAATTAGAGCTTCTTCCATAAATATATCGCTACTTGACATATCTATGCTATATTACGTCTCTTTGTAATTTTATTTTATTTTTATTTTTTTTGAAATGTATTTTATTTTGTTTTTGCAGAAACCACTTGAGTTTGTTATTTAATTTCATTGAAAGAAAAGTTTTTTTTTTCTTTAATTAGAATTAACAAGTATTTCAACTTTCAAATAAATTCAGCCGTTCATACTACGCGAAGTTGTATCTAATTGTGACAGTTATACAAATACGCCAAGTTAGATTGAATTGTGACCGTTATTGTGTGGCTGATTTATAAGCTACGTAGAAGTTTTGAGATTTTTTAAACCTATTTGCTGACCTATTATTTTTTAACCATATATATATAGATATATATATATATATATATATTAATTTGAGAAGAGGGGAATTTCATTATACATAGTACTTGTAATATGTAAATCTGATATTTTCTTAAAAATTTGGTAAAAACTAAAAAACTAAAAAACACTTCCTAGGAGTATTCATCACACGAACAAAAAGCAAATAATTGTAATATGTAAATCTGATATTTTCTTAAAAATTTGGTAATAAATTTTTTTTATAATTAGTAGAATATTTTTGCCACTGCGTATGAGAATATTTATTGCTGTCCAAAATTATCCCTTATTTGGACACTCACACTAGTTGGTTTGATTTTTTTTTTTTTTAATTCTAATCAGTGATCTTTAAAAACATAGAAATATCATAGTATTTAAATTTCTCCCTACATCCGCTATCATCTCTAATTAGATATGTACTAATTATATATGTACGTAATTAAGTATGTTATAACTTGTACGACTTTCAAATGTTTGGCCCCTCTAAGATTGAGATGGGCTGCATTTGTCTTTAGTTCTTGATGTGCGTCTAGTCTTCTACCATAAGTACATGTCACATCATTTAGAGAGTTAGTGGGCTTCTTGACTAGTAGTAAATTTACAGGAGAATGAGTTGTTGGATCCTTAATCTAATTTGGGTTTATACGTAAATAATTATACGCAGTGTGTTGTCATATAAATTAAATTTAATTAAAAGTGATCTATTAAATTTTAAGTATTTTAAATTTTAATGTATCTAATAGGGTGAGAGCCTTTAATGTGTAGAGATTTAAGAGTAATTTCTATTTTTATGATGAGTTAAAATAAAAATACGAAAAGATAACATAGATGTTATCTATGTATTGTGGTTATAGTTTCCAGATCGCACATTACATTCTATTCCTTCTGACATCCCATCATCAGACAGAGTATAGAGAGAAAATTAAAGGGTTATCTAAGAAAATGTGTTGATCTGGAAGATAAATTGCACAACTATAGAGAAAAATAAGTCAATATGGATTCAAGTACGTTTCCGCATACAGATTTATTAATTCTTGAGATCTAACATGAATATTCTTTACTTTTGAGTGATGATTTTCACCAAATCATTAACTTTTAATAAGTAATATCAGAGCCTATTTTTTAAAAAATCGCCACGTTCTTCAATTTTTCAATACCAATTCTTTAAACTGTTCCGTGTATCATTAACTATTTTTCATAAAAACAGAACTATCTATTCAAATCTTGTAGCGGAGTCAAAAGTGTTGGTGCGTATATAGTATATTAAACCAACATATTTTTCTCGCCACAGTTTCTATATTTACTAATTTTGTGAAACACTCGTCAAAATGGTAGGTGAAAATGCATGTAGTTGATGTACAATATGGACTTGGGACTTGGGAGTTGAAATTTTTATAGGATGTTTGATAAAGTGATTCATTTTCTGATTCAAATTATGATTCGTAATTCGTTATATTATTTTCTCTCATAAAAAATACATATAAATTAAAAATAATTCGAATCATATAATTTAAAATAAATAATTAGACAAATTTAATAGACCAGTGAAAGTGCGTTTATTTTGGTTCCTCCTAAGAAAAGGGAAAAGAAACCCAGTATCATCATCGGAGTGACAGCTGGGAAAGAAAGGAAAAGGGTACAGGGACGAGAGTGACCGCCGGATGGGACTGCTTAAAAATTCTCAACCTCTTCTTCGGCCTACTGTCTTTTTTTTTTAATTTTTTTTTAATTTTTAAAGAAAGGGTGAAAGGGGAGGTAGCTGATGTGTCCCAACATTAAAATAAAAGTAAAATAATATATATAGATCTATATATCACTCTCTCTTTTTCATAATAAAAGTAAGAACGTGATACTTGAGGATTGCCCAATGTAAAACAGTTGAAGCCGTTTTTATACGGGTGTAGTCTTATGTCTATTTATTTATATATTTCCTTATACTTCGTTTATTTTACGAATTTAATTTTTAATTTAAATTAAAATTTGACATTTTTTAAAAGTTGTTAATTATAATAAAAAAAATTAAATGTGATATTTTTTAAAAAATTTTAACTGTAAAAATTTAAAATTAAAAACTCAAATCGACAAAATAAACAGGACCATTCGCGGTTGTCGTTTTCGTAGATTTTGTTCTGGATAGTGATATGGAAGGGCATGCTCATGACAGAATGTGTATATATATGTATACGTTTTGGAAGAATATAACATATTGGACTTCTTTTTCTTGCTTCATGATTCTTTGTCCTTTTTCTTCTTTCGCCTTTTTTTTAAGGATAATAATTTGTCCTCTTTTGTGTTATAAACTGAGGAATAAGTACTAGCTAGTCAATTTTTTATTAGCAAAAAAAAAAAAAGGGTACTAGCTAGTCTAAGAACCCAAAAAAAAAAGCCTAAAAAAGAAGCCAAAAAAAAAAAAGTGTAAGGGGATAGATGGCAAATAGTAAAAAACCTTTTTTTTTTGTTTTAAAGGGTACGGGTTACACATATTTGACACCAATAACGTTATAAACATTTCACAACCCAATGATGTTTGGGTTGGGTTGGGGTGGTGTGGGGTGGGTTAGGTGATCGGTTTTAACATTCAAAGAATCAAAGACTCATAGTTCAATCCAACATTTAGAGTTCATCATCAAATAGAAATAATATGAGAGAAAGAGAGAAATAGGCTAAGACTTGAGATAAATTAAAATTAATAGGCCAATAGTTTACATAAGTTAATAAATAGGCTAAATTACTGTTTTTGTCCATAACTTGTCTGGTTATGAACCATAACTTAACAAGTTATTGTCCATAATTGTCCATAACTTGTCTCAACGATGTTAGAAAAATTTCACAACCCAATGATGTTTGGGTTAGGTTGGGGCGGTGCGGGGTGGGTTGGGTAGTTGGGTTTAACATTCAAATAATCAAAGACTCATAGTTCAATCCAACATTTAAAGTTCATCATCAAATAGAAATAATAACTCTAACATTCAAACATATAGAAATTCAAAGTTCAATCTAACATTAAACATGAAGCAAAGTAGTCCATCCAACATCAAACATAAATTAGTCTACACTCATATATTAGTCTTAACATAAAGCAAACATAGATGCTTAATTCAAACATGAAGAAACTAGAGAGTAGAAATGAGTGTCTGTCTAGGGTTAAATATTAGAGGAGGAAAGTTAGAGCACGGGTTGGGTTGAGGTATGCGGTCCATTATAAGCTCAACCCACACCCCGCCCTAAAACTTCGGGCCAGACATTGAATAGGCTGAAGAAAAAAAAATTAATACTAGAAATTACATTTTTCGGGTTGGGTTGGGGTATGGTGGATTGGGTCTGCGGGTTTTACGGGTTTATGAACATCCCTAATTATGAAGAGTATTCCTCCAATCATTCCCAATATTCCAAGAACCATGATCTATTTTACTAGCCAAGAAAGAAAAGAGTTCTAGATTAAGTCTTCTTTATAGTTTAAGGAGGAACAAAAAAAAAAAATATAAATAAAAAATAAATAGTAAGTTAATTCTAGATTTCCAGGACGTCTAAGGCAAAAGAGAAGAAACAATTACGTCTTCTTGGCTTCCACATGCAATATTGTAAGCACGCATTACAAACATGGACTACATATATAAAAACTGTAGGTAATACAAAATTGAAAACTACAAAGTCATATTTTGTTGCACTATATAATTCTACAAATTCAGCGAGCCTCCACCATAGTACATGTCACAAAGTTTATAGAGTAATTAACACCTTCACTAGATGCCAAGTCTCCAGTACCAACCCAACGTCTATTAAGGATAAATGCAGGTTGTTTTGGGGAGGGAAGAGCTGAATCATTTCCCAACATTAGAACAACTGCCGACATGGTTGGTCGATCCTTCGCGTGTTCTTGCACGCTCAGCAGACCAATTTGGATGTATCTCAGAGCTTCATCAACAAATGCCTCGTCCAAAAACGGATCCACTACTTCGGAGGCTCTGCCTTCTCTGCACAAGTCCCAAACCTAAAACAAAACGCATGTCATCATGTTGGAGAAAAATAATCATGTAAATCTTTTTGTGCATGTCGTATTTTTATATTTTCTCAAGTAAAATTAAAATTTTATGCTCACATGTCCAACCAAATTTGACTCAGAATTCTCTTCATAGTAACCAGCATTCTATCTGTCAGAAATGATCTCTAATAGCAAAACTCCTAATCTATATACATCTGACTTTGTTGAAAATAATCCTTCCATTGCGTACTCCGACGCCATATAACTACTGCAGTAGCATAGAATGAACGACGAATTTAACACATGTTTGCCAATGAAAACAGATTTCTTTTTAGTCAAGGGGCACTTACTATGTTCCAATCACGCGATCTGTGCTTTACTTTGGTCTCCTCTAAATATTCTTGCCAAACCAAAATCTGAAATTTTTGGGTTCATTGCAGCATCTAGAAGAACATTGCTTGCCTTTAGATCTCTATGGATGATTCTTAGTATTGAATCTTGACGAAGATATAAGATCCCTTGAGCAATGCCACAAATTATGTCAAAGCGTATTCTCCAATCTAACAATTTCCTTTTCTTCTCATCTGATTACAAATTAAAGTAATTGAATATGTTTAAACTTGTAACGTTCGCTAAGCTTCTTGAGCGTGCTATGCGTAGGCTTATCTATATTCTGTTAGACTAAGAAGCGTTATAAAATTCTTCTAATTTGCTTCCAAATTTATTTTAAGAATGCAACTCATTCCACTTTTAATAAGAGCAATCAAAAAGAAAAATTGAAAGAAAGCATACCAAAACTGAAACAGTCCAAGCTTTTATTCGGTAAATACTCGTAGACTAACATTCTCTCTTCTTCATGGAAGCAACAACCTAAAATCTTCACAAGTTGAAGTGCCACGCGATGTTGCTTACACTTATGTAAAAACATGGGAGGAGCACTAAGTTTAATTACTAAATTAATTCAAAAGTTAGAGCTCCAGATACTAGCCACCATAACTATATGTAGCAGTAATTGCCATTTGACATAATATAGACAATCTATTTATAATTTTATTTTTTGCTGGAGACCATTTGGGACCAGTTCTTTTCATAATTCGAATCATATATCAAATCTTTTGCTACAACATTTTTTTATACAAATTTAAATCAATTTTTTTTTGTTACAATATTTTATCTCATAAAAATTTACTTTTTAACTCAATTTCTCAAGTTAAACCCACGAAAAGAATGGGCTATTGGTTTAATGTCATTGAATAAAAGATTCTTCAATTATACTTAACAAGCTTTTCATATAAATCAAGCTATTTATATTTATTAATGTCATAAGAGTTAGATTTATATTGCCACATTTTCACATTAATTGTTTGATTGAAACTAATGAACATATTATATATTTTTATCTTTTGCATTTTCAGACCCTTTTGCATTTGATCTATTCTTTTCCAACGAAATTTAACCATGCCTCTAAGGAATCGACTTCCGTATCCTCTTACTCATGTCCACTTTTGTTCTGTCTAGTAATTAAAATTTCTCGATTAAAAAGTCAGCTGTTAACTGACGGGCAAGATCTTATTAGACGAACACAAATAAGAGGGTAAATGAGGTCAATCCTATCTTCATATATATATATATATATATATATATATATATCAACTTTAGGTTTACTGCACTCATGCTTTCCTAGACATTGTTGACTAACACATTATTATCGGCTTTATTGTATGCGTCCGCATGCATGACAACCACTGGTCCGCTTGTTAATTTCTTTGGGTTGAACCACTTGGTTGACTAATTCTTGTTTATAAATATTTTACTTTTTAGCAGTTATTTAATCTCACTTATAGGCTTATAGCTTTAATGCAGTAGAAATCACTTGCTATAATTAGTACCCATTTGAATGGTAAAATTTGATAAATGAAAAAATTGTTTTTTATTTGTAGCTTCTATATAGTCGAAATCACTTGCTATAATTATTAGTACGCATTTGAATGTTAAAACTTGGTAAATAATTTTTGTTTTCAAAATTTGGATGTGGGAGATTCAAACTATGCAATGCATAAAAAAATCAAGTGTAGTATTACCTCTAGACTATACATGCAACCACAAAAATTGTTAATTACTATAATCAATTAAAACTTTTAGCAACCACAACATTAATCTCCCTAACAAATGTTCCTACATGTATAATTTGATTAGAAAAAAAAAAAAACTTACGAAATTCGACAATTTATCATCCGATGTTTGAATTTTAAGAGATGTGTAACGAGTAAAATAATGAGAGATTGTTTAAAAATGTGTATATAAAAATAAAATTAGGAGTGTTAATAGACGCATTCATAACCTCATTTTAGGGAAACTATTGATATTATATGTGATACAGTATATATCAATAGAAAGAAGAGAAAAAAAGGGTCAAAATAACGATGACTCAGTGAGGCACGGGTTGAACTTGGGGGTAGATGGAAGTCACGAGTCATCCAAAAACGTCAAAAACTATAACTCCACAAAATCAGCCACAACTCTGATGAAATGTTTGTGTTGTACATTTTGTATTGTGTTAAAGCATTGCAGTTCACACCATGACTGAAGGGTGTACTCTCACGAGTTTTGCCGATACTTGGAAATGTTCGTGACATTCACAGGCCAATTTTTGCTAATGGTGTGTGGTGAACTTTCCTTGACCTTATCAATGAAGCATGATTTTATATGCTGGGTTATTGTAATATTTCGTTTCCTTTTTTTTTTTGGTGGTTTTCTTGTTATATTTGAATCCTTCTGTTTTGGCATATAATAAAAACTAGAGTCAACAGTCTTTAATCCATTTTGGGGAGGTGTTGCCCTATTCATAAAAACTAGAGTCAAATAAGGCCACTCTATTTGTGACGATGTGTTCTCCTTGTCGTCGCAAATAAGCTTGACCGTTGGAATGATTATTTGTGACGACAATATGTCGTCGCAAATAATTTCAGATGTTGGGTATTTGCGACGGCATTTTCATTTATTTGCGACGGCATTTTCATTTATTTGCGACGACAATGTCGTCGCAAATAATTTCAGATGTGGGGTATTTGCGACGACAATGTCGTCACAAATAAGTCTGATCTATTATACCCTACCTTCTTCCTCTTCATTTTCCCCCGATTTCACTCTGTCTCTCTCTCTAAACAATCTCTGCCTCTTCTTCTCCTCACCGCCGCCGCCGCCATCCGCCACCCCTGCCGCCCTCTGTTCTCTCTCTCCTCTTCTCTCTCTTCCCTTTTCTCTCTCTCTCTCTTCCGGAGACGAGGTTAGTTAGTTTTTTTTTTTTTTTTTTTGTTGTTGTAAATTTTGTACATGTTGTTATTTGCATTGATTCAAAGAATGTTAGGGATTTTTGTTAGAGATTGTTGTTACTTGCTAAGTAAATGGAAGAAAGAAATAGAAAATAGAAAATGATATGGATTTTTGTTCGAGTTTAGTCGTTTTTGATGGTTCTGAGAATTTAATTGATCAAGAATTGTGTCTATATGTTATTCTAGATGTTAAAAAAATGTTAATTTTGGTGTTTGAAAATTATGTTCGATGTTTTGTTTTGGTGTAGGCGTTTGATTTTTCACCTCCGTCACTGTTTGCACAGTTCCTCTGACGTAAGCCTGCTATTTTCAGCCCCCGTTTAGTGGGTTTGAACTTTGTAAGTTTTTTATATTTATTTAGTTTAAAATTGTTGTAGTTTTTGGTTGTATGAATTCAAGATTATGATGAGAATATTTAAATTATGATTTTCTTATATTGTTAAAATTTAGTATATGTTTATATTTCTTATTCTGGGTGGCACATCTTGCAGCTATGGTGTGCTGAAATCTTTTAAAGTTATTTTTCTGCAGGTTTTGATTTTTGGATCATATGAAAAATAAGTCGTTATGCTGCTAAAATTTAGTTAGGATTTAAGAATTTTAATAAGTTCATTAAGAAACTTTAATTAATAAAATTTAATTGTCTTAAGAAAGACTAGAATTAAAATTAATTAAACACATTATTAAATAAATTGTTATGTATGTTGTTGTTTATAGTTCAAATGCCGATTGACAAAAGTTGGACTTATTTGAGGAACTGATTGTCGGATGAATATTGGATTGGGTTATCTGCTTTTATTGACGTCACCAAAAATTATGCAACTTCAATTGGCCATATCAGTTGCCCTTGTGTGAAATGTAGAAACCATGAAATGCATCTAGTAGAAACTGTGAGAGTGCATATACATCGATTTGGTTTTGATCCATTGTATAGTACATGGATTCACCATGGTGAAGTAGAAGGGGTTTCAGGTGTCGAACCAATAGTTACTCAACTAGTAGACGAGATGTTTGTAGTCTTAGAAGACGTTGCTGGGATTAATGATGATAATGAAATGTTGGATGAGATGCATGTGGATCTAGAAGATGCACAGTACATTGAATTTAAGGATCTACTTTCTGAGCTCCAGGTGGGATTGTATCCGAGCTGCATTAAGTATTCGTCTTTAAATTTCTTAGTCAAGTTGATGCATTTAAAAGTGTTATATAAGTGGCCTAATGAGTGTATGGATTCTCTGTTAAATTTGTTGAAAGATGCATTCTCGGATGTGAAGTTACCTTCTTCTCATTATGAGTCGAAGAAGCTCATGAGTAAACTTAGACTGGGTTACGAAACAATTCATGTCTGCAAGTACGATTGTGCTTTATTTTGGAAGGAGAACGCTGATCTACAAACGTGTCCCGTATGTAAAACATCCCGTTGGAAGAAAAAAAAGACAAATGGTACTAAACAAGTGTCGTGAAAAGTACTACGTTATTTCCCGTTAACAGATCGGTTGAAGCGTTTGTACGGTTCTCGTCACACAGCTAAAGATATGACATGGCACCAGTGTGGACGTTCAAATGATGAGGATTTAATGCGTCATCTAGTCGATGGTAATGAATTGAAGGAGGTAGATGAAAAGTATCCTGAGTTTTCACATGAACCGAGAAATGTTCGCTTGGGGTTGGCCGCTGATGGTTTCAATCCTTTCGGAAACATGAGTCTCTCATACAGTATGTGGCCGGTGGTTTTAACGGCCTACAATTTACCTCCGTGGTTATGCACTAAGGATCCTTATAAGATGTTGACATTGTTAATTCCTGGCCCAAATGCACCCGGAAAAGATATGGATGTCTTTTTAAGGCCCCTTGTGGATGAGCTAAAAGATTTGTAGAATGAAGGAGTCATTGTATGTGACGCAGTTTTGAATACATCATTTCAGATGC